ATTATTACTTCTTCATTCAACTATATCTTCATTCTTCTATATCGTTACATTCCATGTTTGGAAATTGGTAATTTTAAAATTCTAAAAAAAAAAAAAAAAAAAAAAAAAAAAAAATCACCACACGATCGTCAACACGAAACAAGCAAAGAGAGGTTTTGGCATTGGGTTAGGTTATTTCTTTTTTTCTCTTCCAGCTAAGGACAAAAAACGCTGGCGAAAATGGCGATAACGCCATAACTATTAATAGAAGGAACCAGTCGTGCCGCTTGCGGCGATGCTCGTAAAAATAGCTCACGATCCATTCGAAATCGAATGAGATTCCATGCGAACGATCGTCACTCGAAACGGCTATTCGTGATCGTACCACGGTGTGTACGGATATTCGTTTCGAAATCGACAATTCGATGAAAGATCCCGAGACGGAAAAATAATCGCATCTGGCGCGGGTTATTATTTCGATCGGCGTTTAAACTCGTTTAAAGACGTTTATTATAATAATCAGGGCGAGAGATATTTAGATAAATCATTTAGATAAATCATTTCGGTTAATCATTCTTACCTGTACACAGCGGATAATAGGTCGTTTCAATTTGTATTTAAGCATTCGAGCGTATAATTTAGCGGGATACGCGATAAATGATTTTCAACTAAACCAGGCGGCTAAACTTACGGGTTTCGAGAAAGATTTTAAGATTAGGATTATATTTCGATGGTTAATTAAATAAACGGACGAATAGCTCGATTTCTTGTGTCGCTAAAAAAGTTCTTTTCGCTCGATTACATTTTCGATGCGTTCGTAACGGTAACGTTGTAAATGAGAAGAAAAACGAAACAACAAGTTATGGCTTACCTATTAATTTAGCGAGCTCGCACAAGAACCACGAAGGTGGAAGATCCATGATCAGCACAGATGATCACGCAACGATACTATTCGTTATTAGAATCGTTTTACGAACGATGTAGCGTTGTTATTTAATCGCAATAACGAGAAACGCACCATTCGATCCCGTGATGGAACTCGCATACCCCGTTTCCCCAAACTATTGTCAACCGTCGCGTAAAACGTTTTCACGAGCACGCATCGCAATAAAACAGGATTATAATCGTTATAATCGGGCCCGATAATGAGATTTACCGACCACAGTTTTCCGCCCGACGGATTTTAATTATTCCGCGTTATCGCACCTCAACACCTGCGACGACCTCATGTCGAACCGGTCGTCTCGCGCGCAACCTTTATCGCTTACAGCTTTTCAACGCCTACCTTTCGAACTTTTAAGATTGTACAAGATGGAGAATTTTTAACGAATTTTTGACGTTTTTAACGAGAATTTTTAACGTTTTCCCGATTATCGCGCGAACGAATGATTATTAAGAGACGTTAGACGCGTTGTTTGAATTTCAATTTCAATACGGGAGAAATTATTAATTTGAAATTCACGCGTCTCCGGCGAGAGTGTTTGGTATTTGTGAAGATTAACGATTCTAGGAGGATCGTCGACAGCGTTGCGATTGGCCCCCTCTCCCCCCCTATAACAATGGTTCTATATACAATGACTTTCATCGATGATTTCGCGATATCCCCAGTGTTTGTATATTATGTATATGCTTCTGTCGATTGATAACTAATTTATTTAAATTCGACTCACTCGTTGGATCTCGATTTTCGATTTAAAGATTGCTAATTTTCTAATTCGGGAATCGATAAATACTTTCCAGTCGAATTTATTCGATTCGATTCTCCTTTCTTTCCGCACAATTCACTTAATACCTTCGATATCTCCGATTAATAAGAAATAAGATAATTAATACGTTACGATAAGATTTTAAATCGTATTCTATACCAATTGTAATCAGAATTGCACAGGAATCGTTTTTTCCCCTCCCATCTTTAAACGAGAATATACGTTCAATCATCTTTAATATATAAACAAGAATCCATTATATCTCGTATTTTTTCCCCCTTTATTTTCGCGATCGAACGATTCTCGATATCGAGATCGATGTGTATCTGAACGTGTTTGCAATTTTTGCGTCTCGTAATCGCGATAACCTTATCTCGGTACACGCTTGATCGTCCGTTCAAAATAGCAAAGATACATTAATTAAAAGATGTCGTTTCAATTTTTATTAATCTCTCTGAACGATGTTTGCTTTTAGAGAGCAAAGAAAATATTTCACGATTGCACTTCGAATTATTCTTTTCACCTTTGATCTAACGTTTTTAAATTATTTTAAAATTATAACGAAAGTATTGTATTATAAAATTACAATTTCTACTTCGCTTCAATACCCGTATTGATTTCACGAAATTACTTTTTAATAATTGAAAACGCGATTTAAATTCGATTTCGAGAATTGTATAACGATTAAAAAAAAAGAAAAAAAAAAAAAAAAAAAAAGGATCACGCACATGGAAAAATGTCGCATCTTCCATCGAATAGGAGCATAAAAGTCGAGCGGAATCCAATTGACCAATCGGAACGCATTCGATCGAATCGCGACGAGTCCTATTATACTAACCGGCTTCGGAATATTCATTCCCTATCCCACGTTCCTCACACGTAAAGAATGAGTTTTAACCATCAAGCCAGCAATCGTGTCAAGACACCACACATGTAAGGATTCTAGGGATTTAACGGAAGCTCGACAGACACCTACATATCTAACAAACATATTTCATTACGAGGTGGAGACGAAACAATGTTCGCTTATCTTTGACGCACGAGCAACACGCGATCTCGAGGCAAATACGTGGACCGCATGTACGAGCACAACGTTCGAAATTTATTTAACTCCAACAACTTCCCAACAATTTTGAACTTAGGCATTATGAAAAAGTTTTAAACTAAGCTGCCAGATAAAAATCATGAATTGTAAATTAACTGTCAACTATCTGAAGTGTCTTAGATATTGGAACGACAGGATTCCATTAATTTTACGGTCATCATATTTCCCCCCCCCCCTCCTTTTTTTCGTTGTCGAATTTTTAAATATATTTTTTTTTTATGATTCCATGATTGTTAATCTTAATCTAATCTCGTCTATCTAAATGTTAATGTTGCGTTAATGCTACAATCTTTCCTCCTTTTTTTAAGTTGTTTTTATGAGAAGGGATTTTCAAATTTCATTGAAAATTAATCGTTGCATTTTAAACTTTTAAAACTTTTTTTTTTCCTTCGTATCGGATATAATTTTTCACGTAACGATATTTTTATCGATCTATGTAATTAGAAATCTATAGTGAACTGTAAGTTTTACTTTTTATAAAGAAACTCTAATAGAAAAGAAATAATTAAAATATGGGAACACGATATGTTATAATATAATTTTTAAAGATTTCATCATTGTATAATTATTATATTAATCGTTTTCTTTTCAAAAAACATTTTTTAGTCAATTTTATCAAGAAGAGGCATTAAAGAGATACGTATTCAAATATCTGAATGATTTTATTACGTTACATTAATACTATTAATTAATAACTAATAATATTAAACGTAAATGTAAATTGTTTTATTTACGTTACATTTACACAAATTTCACGCGTTATCTCGATCATAATGAATCGATCGATCGAAAGCAAATATTTATGAAAATTGGTAGGATCGATACATTGGTTAATCGCGAGCGAGCAAGGCCAGATATTAACGAATTACAAGTGCGAGCACATTATTGTCTATAGGATCAATAAGAACGAGGTCGCGAGAGTGAGAACAATTCGAGATCACTCGAGGGTAATAGATCAGAGTGGATAATGGTATTGTCGGTCTGAGAGTGTTCACCAGGCTCGGAGTACCGATCGACTCGACGCCGCATGAATGGAGAAAGGTGAACACTCGTATTCGTCAAGGGTAGCCTTGCGAACAGCTGATTCCTTCTCGCCGCGATGACAAATCAATGGAACGTAGACCAGATGTTCACCGAGAGAATGACTCTGCGCGCGAATCCTTTCGTCGAAGTATAATATCGTGACACGTGAATTTCAAGGGCAAACACGACCAATCCGTCGAAATGATCAAATTGTCGTTCGCTATATACTTCTGTTACGTTACGTTAGTTACGTTTTCGTGACGTGTCGAATCTATTTTACGCTAACCGTTTGAAGTCTTCGACAACGACACGTGTTCCGCATCTGGATATATAACCTCGATCGTAACTTTCGTGGTAACTTTCTTAAAATAGAGACGATTTTTCAAGATCGTCGTCGAGATGGAAGTAAATTATTTTCGATGGATTAGTTACGATGGTGAAGTAACATAAAATAAATTACGATGGATAAACGATCGATGGTTTGATAGTTAGCATGAATTAATCATTTTTTAGTATTTGGATTATTGATTACTATAGGATATTAAGATGGACTAATTTATCCCTGGAATACTATAACCAAATATTATATTTTCCATTCGTTTTTCGTCTCAAATGTCTTTAAAATATAATCATTAAACATTTACAACAGTAACTGTTAAGTTGTAACAATTGTTTGGAAAATCAAAAATATTATTCAATACCATATTTGAATTTATTTCAAATAATTTTTACGTTATTACAGAGTTGTTGTAGAACAGAGTTGAGTAGTTGTTTTTCCACCATTTAAATTCTAATTTAACTTATTTTCATAATTGGAGAATACAATTTTTCGACAAAGATTAACAAAAGATATAAGCATAGATATATAGTATCGCAGGGCGTTCTTCTGTCGTAAAATATCGATAATATAGATTGATTTAATATTTCTCATACTCCTCACTAGAGGGCTATACCACTAATGATAATAGTAGCGTAATAATAATAATAATAATAATAATAATAATAATAATAATAATAATAAATGAAGAGATATTAATTAAAATATATCAAAAATCCAAGTACTAAAAATTAGATAAAAAATATATGTATCTTTTTTTCTAATTTCTCTTTGTAAAAATTCATTTAATTTCTTACTTTGTGAAGCATATGAGTATAAATAGCATCTACGGTAGTAATCAGAATATTACCTTTTTTTAATGTTACACCACCAGCCGGATGACCTGAAAATGAAACAATAAACCAAACTGCGGCATTTCAACACAAAAAAGTAATCTAATTATATTATTCTATATAACTATACATTGTGTTTCGTGTGTACAACGAAAGGCGTGCTTCGCTAATTTCAAATCAATAAATTCATGTTTGGAAAGCGTGACTATTTTATAAATCAAGTTTTGGAAATTATTAATTACTAATACAGCCCGAGCAAAGCGTCACGTGTTAACGATTCAAATGTATGGGAGAATCGCGATGCTCGAAAAGAGTGAAACGCGATATTTTCCGATATTATTCGCGAACGTATGTTCTGCTTTACTAACCGAGAACCACAGTTATCATGAAAGTGGGGGCGCCACTTAACGCAAGAAAGTGGCGCCCCTTTCGGTGTTTAGTCATTTAATCAAACATCGTTGTAGGCGCAAAATGGCGTCAATAGAAAAGCAATCAATCGCTCTTTCTTAGTACGCATGATTTTTTTCCTTTCTCTCCAAATGAGTACGACAATAAGCTCAAAGACATTGACCAAACGTAAACTTGACCAATCTTCCCAATAAAATATTTTACAGATTACAGATTACAATTACAGATAATAGCATATAACAGAGAAGACAAAAAAAATTGAATTTATAACTTTTTTTTGATTTTTTTTATTCCACCACCAAAAGTTTTTTATCTAAACTTTAATATTTGGCGAGTTATTATAAATGAGATAAAAATCTACTGCTGAAAATAGAAATAAACGAAACAATAGCCTTCGAAAGACTGGTTCAAATAATTTTTGTTAAATCGAAACAGCTTGTGAGAGCACCGATACGTACGTACGTATATATACACATATAAGACAGGTGTGTTGCGCTCTCGGGAAATTGATCGCAGAAATTTAATAGCAGCTATTTACAACATAATGTGATTGAGATCTAGAGCCACGATTTCTTTAATCCTCTATTTCAATCTCACATTAAATTCCAGTGACCTTGTACAAATCTTAAAGGGTATAGCCTACTCTTAAAACAATCTAGCTAACTACTTTTAAAATACTTTTATCACGAAACTATATTCTATTTCCATTAATCCAAAAATCCTTTTTTTTAAATATAATAAATATATATATATATAAATTGTATAAAATTTATTATGTCGTTTAATATATCATATATAATATATTTAATATATCATTTTATCATTAATTGTTTTTTTACTAGTAAAATATCTCGAAATCATTTATTTCCTATTAAATATAGAAGACATTTAATTAAATATATACTATCTTTTCTATAATGTTAATGTCTGTATCAAATTAGCAGATAGATTCATCGATGTAATTCGTTAGCCGGCAAATTCGAATCTCGCAATATTTAATGTGTCATAAAATTCGATACAAAAGAATCGATAGTAGAAAGGATCTTGCAAAAAGAAGGATCGATGAAAAGTCCTCTAGTGGCGAGTACAGGAGCTGCTGCCACACCCAATTTGTTCCACATCTAGAAGATGTATAATACTTATATACAATACTTCCTATGTTTCAAATTTTAATTATGCTTATTTTCATTTGTACATAACAATTCTATTTTTAATATATATATATATATATATCATCGCAAATAACACCCGAGATAGTTCTTCCATTTCTACATCAAACAACTAACCGTCAATATTTGCATACCTATTAATTATACGTTTCGTATTACCGTCACATCTTGTCAAATCATACCATATAAAACTATAATTGACGATATCGTTAACGATTTATTCACGATCACTTTTATCACGAGTAAAAACAGATATATGTATATATGTTCCCTATGCTATTACAATAATGATCACTTGTCCATTGAAAGCATACAATCAGATCTCATCCACGTGCGTATACGTGCGCGTTCTCACCAAAGAAAGAGATAAAACGGATGCACGATAGCACCCTATAGTTAATATCACCGATAGTAACGAAAAGCAAACAGTTTTGTGTGTATTGAACAAATAGCAGATTTTCATTCGAAAACATAGAAACATCAAAGTATCCTTCGTTACATGCATCGCCTGTTGTCACAAATAAAAAAAAAAACTTCGCTTAAATAAATTGGAATTTGGACTTTCAAACAATCATCTATCGTCGATGATTCAAGTCTTAGCTGGCAGCAAGCAAGATTATTCCATTCTTAGATAAAAATTACTATATTATTGCTCGTGGCAAAGAGCAATTAAAAAAACATTTTGGCGTTCAATTTCAATTTATCAAGAAGAAGAAAACCGGGCTACGAAACGTCGAAACCTTTCAATTAAATAAATCGTGAAAGAGAAGAGAAACGAATGATCTTAGTTTAGACGATTGAACGAACAAGCAATGCCACGTCCTTTTCATTAAGTTATCGATTCGAGATGATATAACGGATTGGAAAGCTTCCTTCCGTCAAAAAAATAAGCAGCCTACGCGGCCACCACACAAGCAAAGTGTCACGCTTACAAACGAGCGAACTCCCCTTTATCCAACCATTCCCATTCTTGGCCAAGCTTTGCAACACGGATGTAGCATCCACTTTGCTGGAACGCCTGTCGGTTTCCGGGGTCGGAGGCGGAGACGGTTTCCACTCGCGACGGGGAATTCTCCGCCGCTACATGCGCGTGGAAAACTGTGAGGTAAAGTGTGTCACGGGGAGAAGAGGAGGAAATAGGAGAGACGGAGAGTCAATGAGCTCGTTTCTCGTCGTCCCTCGTAACGCAACCCGCCGAGGCTGACCTTGCAGCCGGAAAAACAAGTCGGTTTTGGCCTGATACCAGAATTTTGCGTTATTAATAATATACATCCAAAAATTCGCGGTTGATCCGCGTTCATTATCCTTCGTTGTTGCATTCTCAAATTCCGGGATTATCTCATGGAGGAGGAAAAGTTACATAGAGATTGTGATTACACGAAAAGTGTAAAGTTGATTTTCAACTCTCTGTTTTTTGACCAGTGATTTCCATATTTCTCTTTAATTTTATCGATCGTCGAAAAGGAAATTTCCATTTTTGTCCACTTTAACAAACACAAATTTTCCACTATTTGACTGCACGCAATCACGATTCACAGTTAGAAGTATTGTTTGCATCGATCGCGAATTTTTTTTCTTTCTTCCACGAAACCAACCGGAGTGTTATCGCGATGCCTTTCACAATTTATCTATCGATTAATTAATTTACCAAATGCGATCTTGGTTGTATAACATTACAAAGTAATATGTATTTTTCCAACGTTATTCATTTAATGTTACGTGAAAAGTTTTTCTTTTTGAAGAAGGAGAAAGTAACTTGGAATTGTATACAAGAGCGTTAGAAAAAATTAATTTAATAAATTTTCTATATTTATGTATAATCTACCAAATAATATCGATAATGATAATGTTCTTCGTATTTACTCTTTCCCAAAACCAATTATATTCTTTCATTTTATATGAAACACATTTTACATTTTCAAAAAAAAAAAAAAGATAAAAGGGAGAGAGAGAAAGAGAGATAAGACAAATTCGTAATTCATCCTGGGTATCCCCGATAGGAGAAAAACAACCATAAAGAAAACATGCATCAAGCAACGAGGCATTCGTCTCTTTAGAACTTAACGAAGTAAAGTGACTACAATTCGCCGCAGTGAACCGCCCCTTTCAAACGAAATACACACCCACGCTCTGGCTCGGGGTCAAAATGCATCGACACGTGGAAATATACGCGTTCAATATATATATATATCGCAGGATCGTTCCATGAAATTCATGGAAAGGATGATTTCCCGAATGCGATAATCGCGCAAAAACATATGGCTAATAAGATGGAACGATGTTTACGAGTTTGAATGAATGTTTAATTAATTTATACGATGTGAATAGCTAACAAATATCGCGTAATGAAAAAAATTTCAATAGTGTAATTATTCTTACAAGTGCCTCTAAGTTATGTATGTGTATACGATACGAGATTTATCGATGATGAAATATGATACAGTACTTTGATGACTGTGTTTGGAAAAACAAACACGTAGGATGTGTCATTTCGATATATCAATAATCGTATCTTGAAAACTATTGAATCGGTGAGAGTGTGCATGGATAATGAAAATAAACAATGAAATTTTTTTATTATCAAATAATTAAAAGACGAATAATAATTGAAACGAAATCGATTTAAGTAAGATTCATAATTATCATCCTTTTCTTTTCAGGATACAATAATTTTGATTTTCAACGAATCATAAATTCCTATAAGCGATAATATAATTATTGAGAAACTTGAAATAATGCAGTTTATAATAGAACAGAAAATCGCTAATGATTTTTTAATTTTAATTTATTATTAGAAATTCTAAGTGCATAATCTGTGAGTGTATTATCATTAAGATTAATAATAATATAATTAATATTTCATTAAGCTTTTTTATATCCAAAGTTGTTCAGTTTTTTTTTATGTGTAAATATAAAATCAATATTATAATTAGTAAATTGAAATATCGATATCAATTTTGTTTTTTATGTATAAATGATTTTCAAAAGATCAAAAGTAAATAAATAGCAATCATAAAAATCAATCAATGCAAGTTTTTTTTATATGGAGTAATTCGATTCAGATAACATATCTAATATAACAGTTATCTAATTTGTATTTATCGCTCTTTTATTTCTTCCCGATGAATATAATGAACTGTTGGATGTGTCATTTATAGTTATAAAAAAATAAATTATCGCGAATTATTCGATTCGAAAGACTGTAAATTTATAGAAAAAAAAGGATCGAGATTTTTGGTTTGAATAAAAATCATTTTTGTAAGATATCACGAGCATTCGATGATTTTTGAATGGACAAAAAAATGAAAAAAGAGCGATATTTATACTTCATACTTTTAAAAACAAAGAATAAATTACATCGCAAAATTGATTAATTTTCAACAATCATTTAACATTATGTCCATTCATATATATTAGATTAGATAAATTAGATTGAGAAATCTTTGTGTATGACACTGTCTTTTGACAAATTT